GAGCACTTTTTCAGGGTGAGGGTTGAAGGAATTAGAGAAAAAGACAGAGGAGGTGACTTTTCAATACACAACTTGGCAGTCCTAGATGCCTAGCTATGGTTGTATTGACAGCTGCCTCCCCTTTGCCAGGCCCTGTTCTGGGCATCGAATCGTGTTTGTACACTACTTACTAGTATTATTACTATATACTATTCCTATAATGACAGTCTGTTTTGTACTGAGAGATTAAAATGTGACAGAGTTCATAAGGGAACAAGTTCAAGATACAGACACTAAGGAGAGTATACTGACTGCCAAAGAAGTTCTAACATTCATGTTCACCATAGCCCTTTGAGATGCGTCCTAGTCTGTGGCCACTGTACAGAGAAGGACACTGACTCAGAGAGGTTGAGAGTCCAGGAGAATCCCTGGGTCCGGCCTAAACTTTCACTCATGGAATCTGAGTAAGGAAGTGGATAGAGAAGACCAGAAGACCCAGTGCAATAACTTGGCCCAGTAATAGCATAGTACTGGAAGAATGTGAAATTCCTATCCCATCAAATGGGCCATTTCCTTGAGGTCTGATACACATACACCTGTACAAGCCTGACAGGGTTCTCCTCTTTCTGCTCTTCGCTCTACCAGCCTGAGGATTCTGCCCACGCTGCTTATGGGGGAGACATCCTCCTTTTCCCTTGACTCAGACAAAGGGAGGCTGCTGGGTCCTGGACCTGCACAGGGATACTGCCCCTAAGTTTCTGGCATGTAGGTCCCGAAGTTGCGCTTCAAGGATAGTGGTCCGTATTTGGAGAGGATATTGTATAAGGCTACTGGGAGGTCGGATTGGCTGAGATTCCAGAAGCTGAACCCACCCGCGACCTCCATAGTCCCCATCACGGCGCCGCCACTGGATGAGGGTCGCGACACCCGGCTGGTCTCCACCTCCTGTCAGCCTGTGCTCTCTGGTCAGCCTCCGACTCCCTTGGGGTTTTCTCGACGACGCCGAGTGGTCTGGGGGTTCGGCTTCCAATTGTCTGGGTCTCGGGTCTCCGAGACCCTCCTGGCCTGGCCCCCCGCGCGGCTCTGCAGGCGCTGCGGCCTCCCACGTAGCGTTTTGAACAGGGTCGGTGCTAAGGCAAGAACTAGCGTGGGGAGCGGGCAGGGCAAAACAGAGGCTCTAAATCTTCCTTCAATCTGTGAGTGGATGATGTCTGAGAAACAAATTCAAAGCAGGCGCTCCTGCAGAGCCTTCCTGCAGAAATATTCCCCAGCATTCAAGCGCATCCAGGGGCGGCTCAAGCTGCCTTGTTTGGCTAAGGTCAGACGAGACTCGAGTTCTCCAATAAAAATAAATCTCAAATTAATTATGGCCTCGAGCGAGAGGCCAGACACTTGAAGCTGCAGTTGTGCAGTCTGGAGTTTTGGCGTTCTCCTGCCAACCCCTTCCCCCCACCCCTCCTCCACCTCTTCCCCTCCTGCTTTGCCAGCTAGATACCCTCTGAATCGGTGGGAGAAGAGAACGCAAGGGGAAGGGGAAGGGGAAGGAAGGCTCTGCCAGAGACGCTTTGCCAGACCTGGCATCTTTAGGAACTTCAAACGACCCAGATGTCATGGGGTCTGGAGACACCCCAGGGATCGGGCTCCGATGGTCCTGTCCTCCCACTCTCGTCCCAGGCTAGGACCAAAGGAGCCCGGGAAGCTTGCGTCTGGAAAGTCTTGACCCGGTCAAAAGGGCTGACATTGAGCGAGCCAAGACACGTTTTGTCGGCCGTTTCCCTCCCTGGGGAAGCAGGACTTCCGCATCTTTGAAATTGTCAAGTGTATATAAAGCAAGTCGTCCCATCAGTGCTTTAATGAAAACTCTCCAAATTCAAATGCTTCCTAACTATTCACCTATGTGTATGCGTCTTTATACAACTTAAAAATGTGAGCCAGGATGCTTTGTTACTGGCATAATTTTTTTCCAGTTTGTACCTTAGAAAAAAAAATTAGCCTCGCTTCTTCGGCTGTGAGCTTCCCCTGACTTGAAAATGAAGAATAGGCTGGTGGAACAGCAGCGAACGAACTGGTACCAACTCCTAGCCCCCAGCCCTGCCCAGTCTGGGATAGAGTGAAGCCCACAGTCCTTAGAGCGCCAGGAAAGAGGGCGTGCACCACTGTGTGGGCAGGGGCTGCCATTCCTGAGCTGGACTGGTAGACAGGGAAGAGAAGAGCCTGAGAGAGCCAGAAAGGGGTGGGGGGTAGGAAAGGGAAGGGGAGTGAGAAGCGAGAGAAGGGGAGGGACCTGCCCTCTCCCAGCGCAAGACAGTTTTCATTTGCAGCAGGCCTCACCGCAGGCTCTCTATCAATTTGTCTCAATGCAAACATTCAAAATATTCTCTTTGGCTGCTCATGAAAACAATGTGAGCTGCCAGGATCAAACCATCTTTCCAGATGTCTGGTGGTAACCACATTAAACAGGGCAGACTTGTTTACTGTTGTGTTTGGTTAGGGCTTTTCCCCCCTTCAGGATTTAAAAGAGAGCTAGGAGGATCCAGTGGAACACCATACCCAGAGTTACATAAGCGGGCAAACTCGCCCACCAGAGCAACAACGCGGGATGGAAGGAATCTGACATTCTATCCCAGAGCTGTTCAAAACTGGGGGACAGTGTCTTCTTCTGTGTGGAAAACCCTGAGAATGAAGAGAAGGTTCAGATGGAGGGGTTGGTGGTAGAAATGCCAATGATACCTGTCATGCCCTGGGGTTGCCTAGGCCAGTGCCCCCACCCCCAAAAATTATGAAATTGCTTTCATGTCAGTTTTGCAGGCAGAGACCAAAAAAAAAAAAAAATACTCCCTAGCTGAGATAGGGGTTCAAGTCTTTATTTTTATCTAGATTTTTGTTGAATAACACCCCGGTGAGAGAAGGAATTGGGCTCAATGAAATTAGGAGTTATTCCAATTATTGAACTACTCCAGTGAATGTTATTCAGCAATGAAGATGACTGTCATTTGAGAGATCAACAGAAGTTGTAAAGGAAAACCTGGTTATTGTCTGCCACTTTGGTGCTTGGGGGGGGGAGCAGTTAGTGATTGCATGAGGATTGGCTATTTGTGGCCTTTGTAACTTATCCAGTGCCTGGAAGGGGACCCTCTTCATGGAGAAGTAAACACTCCTTTCGGGCAGAAAGAGGCACAGGATAGCTTGGGTGCACCCTCCTGAAAGCTACGTTTCCATGTCTGTAGAGTCTAGGCTGAAAAGGAAACAATTTGAGGTTTGAAAGGATGTAATTCATTCTTCCTTTCCCTTTAACCTCTTTCCTCTCTGGAAAGCATGTGGAAATGCTGAAGGGAAGAGCAAAGAGGGCGGGCAGCCCGGCCGCAGGCAGGAAAGGGTTAAGCCTGATTTCTTTTAATTGAACTCCAGAACTGGTGGCCCCAGGCAAAGGGGGGGGGACCTGACCCCGCTAGCGGTAACCAGATGTGGCGGTCCCAGGGGAGCCCCGGAGCAGACCCCTGGATTGAGAAGCAGACAGGAGGAGGGGGAGTGGGGCCCGGCCCCCCACCCCACCCCCCACAGTAAACCGAGTCTCAATTGCTGGCAGGCTGCACCGCCACTCCAGGTCTGGTCACGTTCAGACCCGTGTCTGTATTCGAACCCCAAATTGGAGCTGAATTGATGAGACTAATTTGGATAGGGGGAGGGGGGAGGGAGGGAGGCGAGCGAGCGCAAATGCTCCTGAAGAAATAAAGAATTAATAAGTCACCTTTTTGCCGCCGTGGACACCCTTTTGATTTTTTTTCCTTTCCAATTTATTCGGATCTGCTCTGGATTTTTCCCCTCTTTTCCCGGGAGGACTCTTAAATAAAAGTGAGAAAGTCCACAGCGTGGTGTGAAGAGCGTGGAAAAGGTAACCTGTTTTCGAAGTTTGGGAGATGGGAGTCAGGCCGCGAGCGCCGGTACCCCAGAGAAGCCTTAACTAGAGTGCTCCCGGGTCCAGCAGGGGAGGTGGGGGATAACAGAGAGAACGGAGCCGGTAAAGCGGGTCATGCCGTTGGGTGGGAATGACAGTCCCTAGCTTGGACCCTTAGACCATCGTTCTCATCCAAGGTGGGGGTCTCTGCTGAGCCGCTTGCCTTGCTCCGGGGTCTTGTTGCGTAGTGTAAAGGGCAAGCTCGTCCTGATGTCAGTTCCTTGGGGGCTGCGATGGTATTGAAGGACTTGGGCTGTCGGGTCCAGATAGGTTTTAACCCAAAAAGCCTAGGTTGCAGCTGGTCTACTTCCTTAGCGGGCTGGCGGAGCCCGGAGTCGAGGCGCGCCAAAGGGTGAGCATCTACCTCTGTGGTAACAATGCTTGAGGTATTGAGTCACACCCATGACAGGTCAGGTCCGCGGGACCTGAAATTTGCGTTGAGCCGCTCTGGAGAGCAGCGCTTGGATGCAAAAAGTTCCTTCGAGTTATCCTTCCTTCCTTCCTTCCTTCCTTCCTTCCTTCCTTCCTTCCTTCCTTCCTTCCTTCCTTCCTTCCTTCTTTTTTAAAAAATAGTATGTTTGCCTTGATCTGCGTCCGAATCTCCTCTGGCGGTCGGCGTCGCCAGGTTGTCCCCAGTCCTAGTAAAAGCTCTCCCGCCTTCTTCCTCCCAGCCCCAAAAAAGTTTGACTCCGGCTGGAAAAAACATTAATGAATGTATCTGTGGGAAGAAACGGAAAGTGAATGAGTCAGGAGGGCCACCTTCGGCCAAAGGCCCAAGGGAAAGGAAAGAGGCCAGAGGCTTTTGGCTTTGGATTTGGGGGGAAGGTGATGGGGGAGTTACAGACTTCAGGAATCAGGGAGCGGATACTGGGCGTGGACCCCGTCATTGTTCCTGGCCAGCTCTTATCTCCCAGGAGCAAGTATCCTGTGTGCGCAGTGCATGAATGTATCTGGGCATCTCGCGTATATTTATATAGCGAGTGATGCGAAAAGCAGGGCGAGGAGAGGAAGAGGGGGTGTGGGGGAGGGAAGACAAGAGAGAGCAGAGAAGAGAGAGGAGAGGGCGAGACGAGAGAGAGAGAGAGAGAGAGAGAGAGAGAGAGAGAGAGAGAGAGAGAGAGAGAGATAGGACTTCCTCCCCGATCGCAAAGTGAAGTCACTTCCCAAAATTAGCTGAAAAAAAGTTTCATCCGGTTAACTGTCTCTTTTTCGATCCGCTACAACAACAAACGTGCACAGGGGAGCGAGGGCAGGGCGCTCGCAGGGGGCACTCAGAGAGGGCCCAGGGCGCCAAAGAGGCCGCGCCGGGCTAATCTGAAGGGGTACGAGGTCAGGCTGTAACCGGGTCAATGTGTGGAATATTGGGGGGCTCGGCTGCAGACTTGGCCAAATGGACGGGACTATTAAGGTAAGCGGCGGGGCAGTGGGCGCGGGGCGAGGGCCGACCAGGGCGGCGGGAGGGCTGGGCGCCGGGGTCCCGGAAGACGTGGCCACTCTCCCTTCCTTCCGCGCCCCGGCTTCGCGCGGTCTCCTCCGGGTGGCGAGTCCCCCATTCCGAGGAGGCCGGCCAGGCTTCCCGCCCAGGGCGAGCCACCCCTCACTCCTTGTGCCACAGTGGAATCCCGCAGGCTCCCATTGAGCCGCCCGCCCGAGGGGCTGCGAGACTGGGCAGCTGAAACCTGGGGACTCGGGGCGCAGACCAGAGTCTAGGGCGGGAGATCACCGGGTCGGTTCCCACCCGGCACCCAGACGACCTGCCCCGGCGCCAGGCACTAGTCTGGCGGCCAGCTTCCTCACGCCAAAGGCCGAGATCAGCGCGGGCAGGAGCAGCGTTCGCCACAGGCTGGGGTCCCCCGATCCCCGGAGCGAGTTGGCGGATTCGTTGCGGGAGGGGAGGCTTATAAGGGAGGGTGTCTGAGGATCCGGCTGAGCCCGCGGGTCCAGATGGAAGCCCCTGTTTACATGTCAGCCCGACCGGTTTCTCTTCCCCCCCTTCTCACTGCCTCTGCCCGGCGATTTGCCGACGCCGGCTGCCCGGAGCTAACGGGCCCGCCTCGCTGTTCCTAAGGGCTAGGAATCTTCTGGCTCTCCGGCTCCTCTGTGCCTCAGATCCCGCACACTTGTGCGTGCGCCAGCTTCAGAGCAAGGGATCCAGGAGCTGTCCTCCCAGTAAGAATTAAACTCCTTCACGGCCGTCTGCCTGCGGTGGCTGGTTCTGAGCCCATGGCCTGGGGCTTGCCGATTCCACCCCCAACCCCCATCCGCGCCGGCCCAGCTTGGGTCTAGGTTGCAAAGTGCAGCCCAGCAGACCCGTGAGTCTGGGTTCCCTGTCACGCTTCAGAAAGGCTGAGTGCTCCTCCTGAAAGAGGGAAGTAGGGCCAGGAGCAGAAAGGAGGGACACCCCCTAACGTGACTAGCCTAAGAGGACTTTAGGAGAATGAATGAGAGCAGACGTTAGCTTCAAGGCTACACATCAGGCAGGAATTGCTCTGGAAAAACTATCAGGCTGGTGAGGTGGGGACTGGCAGAGCCGCCATTCTCCAGAACCCAGAGGAATCCACTTCCTACTCATGGCTTTGAATAAGAGGAGGTTAAGGTGTTGGCTTTAGAGAATTCAACAGATTTTTATCTTCTGGGTGGGGTCAGAGTGTTTTTATTTTCTAAGAGGCTTCTCCCCCCCACACACACACAGACACTCTCTCTCTCTTTCTCCCTCCCTCCCGCCCTCCTTCTTTCTTCCTCCCTCCCTCTCAGAAACATGCTTACTTAGGTAAAAGGCACCAACTGAAGGAACTTAAAGCCAGAGATGAGATAACCGATTGTAATGGGGTTTTTAACGCGATCACATAGCCGCAGGTTTATCAAACTTGACTTGAGAGGGTTCCTGAGAGGTGTGCTCTAGAGACTTGACAGTGGAGGTCACCGGGCCCTGCTTCTCTGCTTCCTGTTGGTGTATTCATGCAAGTGCTTACACCCCCAGGTTCAGTAACCAGATGGTCTTCTAAAATCTTCACACTCCCATTCAGATCACTTTATACTCACCCCCCCCAAAAAAACCCTCCCCTCTGATCATCCAGGAGGGTGATCATGTGGCTCCAGAGGCTTAATGTGGACACTCTGAGGAGAAGTGAGGCAATATCTATGCAGTGTTCAGACCTCTAAGCACAGGCCCTGAGCCCCGGAGGAAGCTGTGGTCTGTGTACCCAGGATGTGTTAACCCAACACACTGCACATTGGGATAGGCATGTCAGGCATCAAGAACAACCTTAGACCAGGAGATTGCCACTTCATACTGACGATGGGAGTCAGGGCTCTTTTAGGATGAATAATGTGAGCTCATGAGCCCCCCAAAGTCTCCTAAGGAACACCTTGTTTCACACCTAGGAGACTTAACTCCAAGGCTATCAATCACTTTTCAAGCTCTCTTCTGAACAGCAAAGGTTCTGGAAAATTAAGTCTTTAGTGTATCCTTTAGCCTTTTAGCTATGTAGAAGCCACAGGTTCCCTAGCCCCCACTTACATGATAGTTCAATTCCATGCTTGGTGTAGATGCTGAAAGACTGAATTGGAAGAAAGGTCAACCAGCTTCTTATCTTGCTATATAAATCTACAACTATAAAACATCTTTGACCTTCATAATCTTCATAAAAATCCCATGGGACTACTTTACACTGGTGTTTCCAGTTGCTTGTGTACTAAACCACCATCTTGCCCTACATGAACAAAGGTCAGAGGACACTATAAATCAAATGTGATCTGTAGACACAGACTTAAGAGTATTTAGCTTGCCAGTTGGAAAAGCCTGGAGCAATCAGCCTTGAGTGGGTTTTGTGATGTGATTTTATGCACCTGCGTGCATCTTCCTCAGTCACAAAATTTGAAAATACCTGCGGGTCTTGGTGCCAAGGATGTACATGGTTCAGGATGCCAGGGAAGTCTAGCTTTCTTTACGGTAGCCCCCTGTTTTGTTTGGCATTCACAGAACCCTTTGAGGTTGTAGATGTACAATCACGCTGCCCTTCCAAATTACGTTCTCTGCTTTTCCAAGAATGTCTGATGGGAGAACATGGATGGGAAGCCTCAGTTTGTTTGATCTTCTTTAGCTACAGACAAGTTAACCTGTCATATTAACCAACACCCTACCCCACCCCTGCTCCCCACAGTGATATTATCAGTGTTGAAAAGCACGTGATACTGCTTGCTGCTTGCAAAAATGACCTGGTTTCAGACTGTGTCTTAATTCTAGGCAGGTTTCCTTTGATCAGATTGATGCCATCTGTAGAACTGCAAATATTAGGTGCACCATGAAAGATTGGGAATCAACCAGAGAACAGTTAGACATGTGCATGAACTTGGGAAACAGGGAAAGAGAGGAAGGCCTGGGAGAAAACCTAGCTCCATCCTCCTTTCTACTATTTACTTACATGGCAAGGCTCTTGGCTCCTGGGTCTCAGTTTTCTCATCTGTAAAGTAGGTCTAAAGCAGCTTCTTTAGATAAGTCACAGTGAGGGTGTGATAAGATCTGGTGCTTTAGGTGGATGCACATTTGTTGAACTTCATCTTGCCTTAGTACTTACAGAGATTTGTTGCTCACAGTAATAGAACATAGGTCTGAGTTTAACACTATGCGTATTTCATGACTTTGATATGTATTTGTGGTGTACATCTCGTGTTCTAAGGCTCTGTTTTGTGTATGTAGGATAATCAGCCATTGAAAGTCATCTAGTGATGGATGCACATAGAGACTAATGTGGTTAGTGCTCACACATGATGGTGCTGTACCAGGTAGGAAGAACACTGTTAATGAAGCAAGTGGGAACCTGAGTAGAGATAGCACTTCTAAACAAGCACTAAACGATGGTACAGGAGAGAGAGAAGCACCCTCTGTGAACCAGAGACGAGCCATATGCCAGAGAGAGGGTAGGCTGCTGCACTCAGGGCAGAGAAACTGGGAAGGAGCTCTGAGAAAAAAACAGTCAAGAGAGAAGAATAGGGGTAGCCTTGGCTTCTATCTCCCAGGAGGGCATGTCACCTAAATTCACAAGGACACCAGGCAAACTAGATGGTCACTTTGTCTGTCCCCATAACCACCTGATAGTTCTCTGAAGCGACTTCCAAGTGAACTTAAAAGCTTTCTCCTCATACTATTCAAATTCATAGGTGTACAGTCTTAAAGCTGTAGAGACGACTTATTAGCTGGATGCTCTCGTTTTTGCCTATGGGAAAAACCAAGGTCCAACATGCTGAATACAGAGTTCATGATCACAGAAGGAAAAAAAAAAGTGAGAATTCAGGGGTCCTAGGAGATAGTGTTCTTTCTAATCTAAGATGAAGATTTCACATGTCACCTCACGTCAAATTATAGAATACTGCAGAAAGAGAGCTTTAAAAGCGAAATTGTGAAATATCTGGCACCTTAAACTACCGACACTTCTGCAGTTTAGTGACAAATATATTCCCACTATCTTGAATTATATCTGTACACACACACACACACACACACAAAGAAAGAGAGAGAGTGAGTCAAAATTTTCAGATAGGTTTGGAAAACACAACTATTTTCCAGAATAAATCTGCTTTGACTCTATGCATCATAAAGAAAGTTTCTATTATAAAAAAAATCTATCTAAAATATACCATTACTTAAATAATCAGCAGACTCTTTTACTGATGGCAGGCAGGTATAAAAAAAAAATGAGGGTTTGCCTCTTTAAATAAAACACTCTCCGATATATTAGGACAGACCTAATAGATCTATTTCTGAACAGTGAAGCAAGAAGGTCTTTGGTAACAGCCCTGTTAAATAAGATTTAAAATTTCAATGTCTTCTTTAGTTTGAGGTTGAGCAGTAAGTTGACATTGGTTTTAAAAAACTTGTTTGGCTGAAACCAAACCCCTTTCCCCCTAGAAATGTAGCATTAGTCTAATTCTCAGCAAACAAACAAACAAACAATCAATCAATCTTGGCAAAATATTTTTGCCATTAATAAACTTATCTTTATTCTACCTTAAACCTCAAAAACATCCCCAAACTAAAGTCTCATTCATCCTAAAGCTTGATATATAGGCTTTCATGTTCAGTGTGTGTGTGTGTGTGTGTGTGTGTGTGTGTGTGTGTGTGTGTGTGTGTGAGAGAGAGAGAGAGAGAGAGAGAGAGAGAGAGAGAGAGAGAGCATGGACAGACACATGGAGATAAACGGGATGTCCTGGGGTGTTGGTGCTCACCTTCTACCTTGTTTGTGATAGGGTCTCTTTGCAGGCAGCTGTTGTGTGCAGGGGTCTAGCTGGCTCAGGATCTTCTGAAGAATCTCCTCTCTCATACCAGAAGCCCTGGGGGTAGAGACCTGTGTTACTTCTTTCTGGTTTCATGTAACTCTAGGCATCCAAACTCAGGCCCTCAATTTTGTG